GTAAATAAATAGATAAATAAATAAATAAATAAATACATGTATGTGAAAGCAAAAGATAAAATAAATATATAAATAAAGGTAAGTGAAAGGAAGAGAAAAAATAAATAAATAAATAAATGTTCATGAAAGGAGGAGACAAAATTAACAAATATGTGTAAGTAAAAGAAAGAGATAAAGTAAACAAAATCATTTAAGTGAAAGGAAGAGAAAAAATATATAAATAAATGTAAATGAAAGGAGGAAACATCATAAATACAATTTTACTTTTGTTCATCCCAGCGAGGAGATTTAACTAAATAGCAATGTATAACACATATCCCGTCAACGACAAGCTCTATGCGCTATGCAATCTTGTTTATATTATTAATAGCATTACTCCAGCAGACCCGAGAATACTCAGAAATATTCTCGACTGTCCGGGAAGCATACAGTGTAAATAGCCAGTTAAGCACTCGAGCACTAACAGCAGTTGCGAGCGCCGTAAAATCCTATACTACTACTACTAAAGCACTAACAAACTGACAAGATCTTTTGCTGAATATGTAAAGCCGCGTACCCATTCCGACTTGCGTGAAGTAAAGACAATTAGTGTGTGGCGGCTTTCTCAAGGACACAACGTCGTACCCCTGACGGGTTTCGAACCCACGACCTTTCAATTTTGAACCCAGTAGCCTAACCACTAGACTATCGATGCCACAATTAACAATGAACAAAGAACTCCATGAGACAAAATGTATCAGAAATGCGTGGTACGCAATACAATGTACAATTCCAACATAAACAGATACAACACACCTTTGTTGGTTGGCGATAACTTTTTTGGTGCAGGAAAAATATTCACAAGTATGGATTTGTAAAAGATTTTCAGTGGAGTTTAACTGATGTCGAAAGCCACTACCTCAGAGTTACAAAGTTCTGTCTGCTCAGTTCCAAGTTTTGAGAAATTTTACGTCAGAAATTTTGCGTTTTACAACCTGTCAAGCTTTCACGGATGCAATTTGTTTTATACCTTGATAACTATTCCGAAAAATCTTACAATTCTGACAGAGGCAATAGAACATTTGGTTTCTGATCTCAGTCTTAGTAACTCAAAACGGCCAGAAATGTCAGATAGAACTTTATAATCCTAAGGTAGCGAAATGTTTTCATTTCAGACGATGGTGAAGAACAACAGAGTCGACTGCCTGTCTCACCCTGTCTGTGTGACGTTTCTCAAGGTCAAATGGTAAGTGACCACTCCTTTAAAGATTAATACTTATTGACCAGACACTGGCACTTTGGTTTGGTTCTTGAAAACTCTCACACACACACACACACACACACACACACACACACACACACACACACACAC